TAATTATGTAAATATAAAGTGTGGGGGATCATTTCTATATTACAATCAATATATTCACTTTGTGGCCACTGTAGTTTCTATACATTTATATTCTAGAGAATGTAAATAAATCTAAAAGACATGACTGTGTAGTTAATCAGTAGTTGAGTGATTGTTTCATTCATTTTCTATGGCTTATCAACCCTTTTCTGATTATTTAAAGTCAGAAAATATTTTTAAATTGTAAGAATTTTTTTTTTTGAGATGACAATGGTTTTTAATGATACAAGTTTTACTAATATAGCGGGGAGAAAAGAAGTGGCTTCATACCTTTCGTAAGGGTAATGTGAATATAACAAACCCAATGAAAATTGAAACTGTTCTCCAGTTAACAATTCTGAGCCATTATCCATTACACCACCCACACATTCAAGATTACAGCAACTTATGTTCCCAAGTGGTTACTCATCTAGGTAATGACCAAGTTCAATGTTGCTTAACTTCCATGATTGTACTGGAACTGGTTTTTCAATGTGACATGGCCATAAATCTTTCACGGAGTCTAGGAAATTAAATAACATTTAGAACAAACCAACTTTTTCATAAACTTCTACAGTGTAACACAGTGGTTCCTCTCCTTTTTTTGCATAAGCACCCATTTCACATGGAAAAATTTTCCACCACCCACCTGCAGATTAAATATTAAAAAGCAAAGTGATGAGCAAATTATGTTTTGACAGGCACTTTTCCTGCCTTGATAAATTCAAGATGGTCAATGTGATAAAAGATTAAGATTGTATCTTTCAGAAAAGTGTCTTAAGTCTAGAAGAGAGAGAGAGAGAGAGAGAGAAAGTATGGTATGTCGTGCAGAGACATTGAAGAATGTGTGGAATGGCTGTTTTAGTGGCTGGTTGGGTATAAGGGTAATACCGGGAGTTGACCCAACTCGTGTGTGGAGTTGGCGTGAGGTCACAGTGTATGTTCGGTGTGTGTTGTTTAATCGAAGTCATGGTCGTAGATTGTCCTCATTGACTGGTAGGCCTGTTCCATAGAATGGAGTTGACGTCAGACCAGCGTGATTTTGGTAGGCCTGTTTTACTGAATGGGGTCATGGTGATGGCTGCAATGGAATACCTTATACATGTTGGTTATGCCCAGGTAACGGTAGTGGGTTTCCAAGGTGTTTACAAGCATCAAGAGAAGTCACAAATTTGACTTGCCGATGCAGTGGGTACAAGTGTTAAGTGTTGGGAGACGGGATATTGTCATACTGAAACTGGACAGCCAAGGTGGCCAGCCAAGACTGGGAGTGGCAATGGTTGGTGAGAGGAGCAGTCATGTTGAGAGGTGGCGGTGAAGAGAGCAGCAGTAGCACCCTGCATGACAGCCGGTGGCCTGCAACTATGTTTGGTTGTTCTCAGAGATCTGCTTTTAACCACGTCTGGTAGTCCGCAGGGGTATCTCTTTACTTGCAGGAATTTTCAGGATTAGCTATAACCGGAGCATAATGTGCAGAAAACAACTGTCATTTCGTTATCTGCCTTCATGGCATTCACAGCATGCAGAATCAATCAGAAAGAGATCTAATTATAACAGAGTATAAAAATTTCAATCTCCACACCAAATAAAACCCATTACTCAATAACTACATTAGTAACACTCCTTTTACTTTTTCTTATGGTCTAAACCAGACATGTCTGAACTTCATTAATCTGAAGGTTCTGTTTCTTTCAAATTTCTTGCATCTTCATTGTTTTTACTCTTTGATAAGAAACTTATCCTATTTGTAGGAATTTTGAACCAAACCCTTTATTTAGTCCATAGGGTAGATTGTTCTAATTCCATGTACCATGCCTTTGAATATCTCTATTTTAGTTCTCTCTGCTGAGGCCAGGGATGAGTTAAGTCATTTTTTGGATCAATCAATCAAGACTTATCCACTGGGGCATGTATCCTTGAGAAGTGATCTTTTAGGACTTATAAACCTATTGTCTCAGTAATCATTTTTTGTTTTACCAGAGCTTGTATTACAAATGAATACAATATGTGAACCAGTAATACAGAAAGCTAGAGAAAGGCAACAATAACAAATGAGATGAAAAATATTATAAGAGCTCTGGTAAAAAAAAACAAAAAAAAAAAAAAAAAAAAAACACACACACACACAAATTATAGGCTATAAATTATGTCCTAAAAATGACTTAACCTAAAGAGTTGTGAGTTCAATTACTGGCCTTGGCAGAGAGAACAAAAACTTGGAGAGGCAAGTTATTAAAACCAAGATATCCAAAAGGTATGATATATGGAATTAGAACAATCTACCCACGTGGATTATATTCCAACAAATATCACCTGAAGAAAGCCTGAGCATACAATGTCTAAAACATTGTGAATATGACAGTAAAGATAAGGACAACAGTTCAAACAATGTAAATAGTATAACTGAATTTTCCTTTATGAATGAAAATGTAGGAGCTTATAGAAGTAGAAAAGGGCCAAACAAGGACACAGCAAATGAAAACAAATATGAAATATAGTTTTGGGTAACAAACAAGACTGTTCTGTTCATGTAGTGCAGAAAATGTGCCATGATTTAAGGAAGATAAAAAAATAACAATGAATTCGAGATTTTTAGTTCTAATATTTTTGTGATAATTAGAAGGCACTGTAAATGGTAAGGCCTTCAAGAAAGTGAGAAGCAGCATTCAAAGAAAGAAGACTAACATGCAAAATGACTTTCACCTTGCCTATCTCAATCTCCATCCACCTCAACCAACAATTACAAACTTGCTGATTCACTGAATTTATGAACAAAACATGCATGCTTCTTGGCTTTCCTCTTTTTAGACATCATAACCAATAATTGTAAAGTCTTCTTTGTTTTGTTTTTCAGTTAAAATCTCCCAAAATGAGAGGGGTGGGTGAAGAACAAATAAAAAAAAAAAAAAAAAAAAAAAAAAAGTATGTTAAATGAATTTTCTCACTATCAAACTCCTTTTGGAATATCAGCTTTGCTTTTTTTGTCAATTTTGTTATTTCAATTAAAAATCTCATAACATGCTATAATGTTGTGACACCATGGTTGAAAAACACAGGTCTACTGAAACCAGATAGCTGTTTTTTCACCAATGATTTGATTAAACTCTACAGAAAGATGCAAAGTTTTTTGATGGATTAGAAAACTAACATTTCATGAATAGGTAAAAAAATGATCTATTCTTTGTTCTATAAATAAAGCCAGTATATTAAATCTTTAGCACAGTTATCCCCTAGAATTACTTCCCCTTATAATGTATATGGCAGCTTCTACAGAAACACCACTGATGATTTCAGTGAAGATCATTTTAGATTTTTATCTGATATTAGAGAGGAGTGAGAGAGAGAGAAAAAAAAAAAGATAAAAATGGAAAACAAGGAAAATACAATTTTTTAAAATAATCTTTTTCATTGTATAGCTGTTTTCTCCACTTTTATTGTCACTAACAATGCTTGTTTTTTCATTCAGCAACAGTTCTTTACACAAAGACATTGTTGTCCATCAAAAGCAGAGATGCAATCACTGTCTTTAGTCAAACCAACAAAATGTAGTCCCAGTTTTAAACTGAAGTTAAAGATTAATTTTTCATCTTAATTCAGTGATTTATTTATTATACTGTATTGTACTAATACACTATAATAATGAGGTAACAAAAACACATTTAACCAACCTTTTCTTTCAGTCAGGAAATTTCTATAAAACAAAACAGAATAGAGAACTGAACTCCTCTAAATACATAAAAGACTCTTATTAGCTTCTGCCATAATTTTCTTTTTGGACAGTTACTTAAAAGTTAGAATAAAAGTAATGATTTACTTAATGCTATAACCATTCTTCTCTGAAGAGGTAGAACAAAATGTCATTGTAACCAGTAGAGGTGACAAAGCAGTCAAGTGGGTAATGAAGGCAGGAATTACTAAGATCCTTAGTAAATAAACATTTCTCTTTAACGGTGTGTATGTGTGTGTATACATGAGTTCCTAAAGTTTTGAGCCCCAAATACAATCCCTTTTACAGTGATTTCAAATTGTTTTATAAATCCAATTACTATAGCATGTTACTATTGCTTATATAGGTTTTCACAAAATTTTGAAGGTTTTTGATTACTTAATATTTTTAATACTATCCATTCCAGAAATAATTGACACTGATCAATTAAAATCAGAAATTAAAGTGTTGCATTGTTATTGAATGTTCAATTCTGAAACAGATCGCACCACAGGTAATCTATGATTGCCATGTAAACTGTTTACCATGAGAATTTTTCTTCATATACAACAGTCAAACATTGGTCCACTGAGAAGAGTAGAGCTCTTGAAAATGAACCAGGGTTAGAAGAGCTTGTAGAAGCAAGCTTTTTTGAAAAATAAAATTCTTTTCCTGCTATCATCTTATTAAGAATGTTGGGCTCAAAGCTTTTGTAACATTCCTCATATGTATTTATAAGGAACAAAAATGTAAACAATATGCAAATGAAGTCACTCATTCTTCAAATGAAGCAACCATAGATTATAACCATCACAATGAGTAGATGAGATCTTCAATAATGAACAAGCATTTCTTCACAACTGAGCAATTTTTAATATAAGCTGAAAATGACATTTGTCAGATGATCTCCTTCATGACAAAATTACAGATGGAAAAAGAAAAGCTTCAAGACTAGTTAAAGAAATAAATAATGATTTCTTTCTCAGGAGAATGTTGGCAATACACATACACACAAAAAAAAGACAATAATATAAAAGAATGTGTACAGTGCATCACAATTGAAGACTACCAGTCAATTAAAAATAAAAGATGCTTGACTAAAATCCTTGAATTGGATGTGAAAGGAATTTAAATAGTACACAGTTTCATATGTACTACCAGTTTCTTTCTTTTTAAATGATGACTTATTTGTATGATAAATTTGTGAAATTTGTTTATGGCTGACAGTGTCTAGTCTTCATTCCCATTCTCATCACAAAGCATTTTACTTGGGTACAAGTCACTTAGACTGTCATCACTATCAGACTCTTCATCTTCATTATCCATTGAATTTTTAAGAGAATCATCCAAATCATCTTCAACATGTTGTTTCTGCTTTCTTGAGATGGGAACATATTTTTTTCCTTTCTTTTCACATTCTTCCCCTAGAAAAACAAAAGTGAATTATTGAGAAAGGAAAAAAAAGATTTAATTTCTATGAACAAAGATGTGGCTTGACATAGGATAAAGCAAACATTGTGAAACTCAAGATTATTTTTACTCTCAGATCCATAAATTACAATCAAGTTTAAAAATGGGTTATGACAATATTAATGAAATTACATATAG